CTTCTTCTGAAAATCTTCTTCTTTTCAGGATCCCTTAGTTTGTAGCCAAACTCTTCATTACCATAACCCAAGAATATACAAAGAATAGCTTTGTCATCAAGCTTCGACTGTTACTCCTTTGAAACATGTTCAAAAGCCCTACAACCAAACACTTTCAGATGAGAGTGGGACACATCTTTCCCTTTTCATACCCTTTCTGGAATATCTAAGTTCAACGGAGCTGAGGGAGATTTGATCATCAAATAACAAGAAGTGCTAGCAGCTTCCCCCCAAAAGACTTTGGCAATGCAGCCATCTTCAACATGCTTATGATCTTCTCAACAACTATGCGGTTGTACCTCTACTACCTAATTGTGCTGAGGGGTTCCACGAACTGTCTTCTCATATCTAATGTCGTACTTAGAGCAATAACTTTCAAACTCCCTTGAAGTTTACTCACCTTCATTATCAGTACGGAGACATTCTAGGAGCTTTACAGTTTATCTTTCTACCATGACACTGAACAGTTGAAAATATTAGAACACATGGCCCTTATATTTCATAGGAAACGATCACATCTTTCGTGAAAACATCATCAATAAAAGTAACAAAATATCTACCTTCATAATGATGGAACATCAAATGGTCCACAAACATTAGAATGCACCAAGTTTAATATATTAGATTTCCTATCATGATGCTTTTGGAACGAAACTTGATGCTTGCCAATAACACAATAGTCACATGTATTTAAATGCATATCTTTGGCAAAAGGAATTAGAGACTACTTTGCCAGTACCTGCAAACATTTGTCACTCATGTGACCTAATCTCCTATGCCACAAGTGAGTATTATCATTTGCTGCATTCAATCCACTCAGATATATCTTCATTATAGTCTTATATAAATTGAAGCAAGCATCTCTTTTTGCAACCACCAAAGACCCCTTTGTGAGCTTTCATTTTCCACTGCCTTTCCCTTATATCAAATTAAGGCACAAATCAGGAACATGTCATACATCCTTCAGTGTCAGTGTGTAACCCATAATTTGTTGTTATACAAACATCACAAATTCCCTCAATGTGCAGAAACTAGCGTTACCCATCTTTATAGTTCTAAAGTCTCCTGCTTTGTACCTAGTGAATGACTTGTTAGTGGGAGTAGCATGATAAGATGCTCCTGTATTAATTACACATTCAACCTGGTTATTTGACACGTGCAAACAATGATCTTCACCAAAATGAAGTAGCAATAGTACCTCATCAAAAGCCACAACATTGGTGTTCTTATCATTATCTTTCTTTTGGCTACTACCTTTATTTTGCTCTCTCTTCCAAATTCGGCAATTCCTCTTCATATGCCCCTATATGCAACAATGGTAACACTTGACTCTTTCACCAGATTTTGATCTGTTCAGTGACTTTCCATGACTTTTGTCTCGATAATGACCTTTATTAAATTTTTCTTTGCTATTTTCTCCGTTCTCTGTGACAAGTGTTTGTGCATCATTTGAACCCATGGACTTTCTTCTTTTCTCTTCATTCAACAGTGCACTGGTAATCATATTAATTGACAATTTATCCTCTAGAGCAGAATTACTAACAGATATCAGCAAGATCTCCCAAGAATCTAGTAAAGAGTTCATCAACAACAAAGCTTGCAGCTCATCCTCAAGTGTCAACTTCATTGTGCTCAACTGATTTGCTATACTTTGATACCCATTCCAATGTTCATTGATAGTGACAACACCCTTGTACTTCAAGTTTACAAGCTTTGTCATTAAGAATTCTTTGTTCCCTGCTATTTTCCTCTCATACAGAGTTGCCAACTTTTTCCAAAGTTTTTCGCTGATGTCTAATTTGCAACATAATAAAAAATACTGATATCCAACCACTGTCTAATTGTGCCAACTATTTTTCTATTCAATCTATTCCACTCCAGATCTGATATCTGAGCTGGTCGCTTAGCATTACCCTTAACATGTTTATACAAGTCTTTGTAAAATAAATAATCATCCAATAGGCTTCCAAATCAACCAATTTGATCCATTGAGTTTAAACATGGAGCTTGAGCTACCTTCTATTTCAATTTATACTTCAAACACCCACAATTATAAACCAAAGCTCTTGATACCACTTTGTTGGGGGCCAAACACAATATCCAAGTGCAAGTTGAAGTAAACCTATAACTCAGAAAAATAACAATAGCAGTAACATAAATGGCACACAAGAATTTTCTACATGAAAAACTCAATGTGAGAAAAAAACCACGAAACCTTTATCGGAATCCACCCAAACTTCCACTATTTCCAATCAATAATAATGGGTAGATATACAATATGTTAGCTCTCTATATAACAGTAGAGGAATCTAACAACATCATCAAATAGATGGAAATCAAGAGATAAAGCAAGGAGAAAAGTCACCAAAGAAGCTTCAAAGGGGGAAACCAGATTTGTAGCTTTAAAGACCTCCAAATCGCAAAATGACTGGTGGATGTGAGCTACTAAGCACCATGAACACTTCTAAAATCTGAGCTGGTTCTGACGAAGTCTCGTCATTAGATCTGCCAGAGAAAACCTCCCCTTCTTTCTTTTTTCTCTCCCTCACACGCTGCCGCACACTTTCGATTTTTTTTCTTTCTCACTTTCGTTGCTTCTATCTTCCTCGGCTTTTTTTTTTAAATGTTACAAAAGGGCCAATGGGGGCCTCACCACTAATAAAAAGTGGTTAAAGGTCACGAACCTAACAAAACCATGGACTCTAGACTTTGTGCGTGTCAATTGTGTATTGTTGTAGCTAACACATTAAGTATTCTGCTTGGGGAGTATGGCTTTGGAGCTTGATTCACTAACTTTATAGGTGTTAATGTTGATTCCTTTGAGGCTATGATGGTTAATTGACTGAATGTGAGGTCCTTAAGCCACTAGGTTTGTTATAGTGATTAGGGATTTGAGTAGTCTGTATTATATTATGTGTTCAATTTTCTTTTGTATAAAAGAAAAAAAAAGAAATATAAGGTCCTCGGGATGTTCATATCGATCACAGGATGCTTACTCGCGAGCTGGGGCTATAGGTTGTGTTGAGAGTAGCTTTGTGTCATCCATAATTGGTTTGTAGATACGGTGGCAACCTATCCAGCTCTTTGAGGTACTTGTGTCATTCTTTTGTGCTACTGATCAAGAGTCCATTTGGCTGGGCTTCCAAAAAAGTGCTCTTTGTGCCTTGCTTATTTTAGAAGTACTTTTTATAAAAGCTAAGGCTATCTAAATTTTTAAAAATATATTGTATTTTTGATTTTTTTTTTTAGAAGCTACCAATTTTAGTGTCCAACAAAGCATATTTTTGCCTTTTTTTATGATTTATATTTTTTTAAAAAACAGACAATTTAGATAAAAAATTTATGAGAAGTATTTTTTTTAAAAAAATAGCTTTTGAAAAAGAAAAGAAAAGTCATCCAAACGTGCCCTATTCTTACGAAGTATATCGGACTTGCTTTCTAAATGTCGATCTTAATTCACTTAGCATGGAAGATAATGGTAGGTGGGTAACACTTTAGAGAAACTTAATCCTTTATATTACGCCTCTGATCTAGAACATTTACTTAAAAATGGCAAATGATTCAATGTATATAAGTCAAGACTAAAGTATCACATTAAATTTGAGCAAGAAAAAAACCTTAAATCTAGACTTACGCTTAGAGAAATGATCTAATTAGCGTGTGTTTTACATTATAATTTGTGATATTTATTCTGTACAAATTAATATTATATTTTTTTTCGGTAAACAATATTATAAATTTAATTTTTATTAAATGTAAATTTTTAATAAAATGTTTTTTATATTTTTATTTAAAAAATATTGTTTTTGAATATTTAAAGTTAATAATAAATATCTCTCGTTTATTGTAAAAGGAATTATTATTATTAATTTTTAGAAAAAAAATATTTGTCCTATGAACATTTACTTAAAAATAGCAAATGATTCAATGTATATAAGTCAAGACTGAAGTATCACATTAACTTTGAGCAAGAAAAAACCCTTAAATCTAGATTTACGCTTAGAGAAATGATCTGAGCGTGTGTCTTACATTACAGTTTGTGATGTTTATTCTGTACAAATTAATATTACAAATTTAATTTTGATTAAAAGTAAATTTTTAATAAAATATTTTTTAATAAATATTGTGATTGAGTATTTAAAGTTAATCATAAATATCTCTCATTTATTGTAAAAGGAATTATTATTATTACTTTTTTTTAAAAATATCTGTCCTTTGAATGATATAAATTTGTGTCATTTAATTGAAATATGGTGTTTTACTCTAATATTTAATCAATTGAAAAAATTATTTGATTAAATAATATAGTATCATGTAAAAATATATAAAATTATATCCTTTAAAAGAATAAAATATTTTTCTCTTATTTTTTTACTCAAATCATGATTTGTGATTAGAATCTCATTAAATGGTAGCAAGATCTTAGCGAGACATATTGATTTGAGCAATTTAGCTATTTTCATAAATTTCAGCAATTAAAATTTCAGGGATTTTAATTTCCTTCCTTAGGGGTGTTTCTCTTTCTTCTCATTTTTACCTTTTCTGGTTATTGACAAAAATGTGGTTTCCTTTTATATGTTATTACCCTAATAAAATAAAAAAAATATAGTTATCCCAATAAATTCGATTGGTTAGGTTTAGGTTAGAAGTTAAATCACACAGCATAACCGCCGTATGGGATATTCCGTTTAATCCTGTATCGAGGATCCCTTTTCTGTAATTAAATGACAAAGTGGAGGGCATTTCGATAACCACAACCCACCAAACCCAAGCTTCACTTTATCTAGAAACCAGAAGATCTGGACTGTTCGTCCTTCATCGATGACCAACCAACGGCCAAGATCTTTTGTTTGACTGAGGTACAAATTTTGAAGGTGGAATGATTGGGTTTGACCGTAGAAAATTCAGAAAACATTTCATTAAGGAAAACAAAAAGGCCACCTGGGAAGCTCTGTCTTTGAGGAAGAGAGAGAAAATCTAGAGAGAGAGGGGTTTCGTAAGATTGTGTTGGATTTGGTTCTCCATTTTGCTGTGTCATTTTTTTTTTATTTCTTATTTGTTGCTGGGAACTGGGGTGGGGGAGAGAAATTTGTGCTTCTCTCTCTACTATCTGTTTGATTTCCTTCTTTTTTTTTTTGGGATAAAGTTTTGGTTTTTTTTGGTGGGGTGTGAGGGATTTAGGGTTTGGACAGTTGGGTTGTGAAGGGAATCAGCAACCATGAATATGATGCGACGGCTGAAGAGCATTGCTTCTGGAAGGACTTCCATTTCTTCAGATCCTGTAAGATATTTTTTTTTTGGGTACATAAGTTTTTTTTTTTTAATTATTATTTTGGTGTAAGAAGTGTGTTTGTTTGTTTGTTTGCTGGGAAAAAAAAGAAGAAACTAGATGGGGAAAGAAGGAAGAAATGAACAAGTTCATTGTTTGAGGTTTATGGGATTTGTCTGGAACTCTTGTCTAAATGAAACTTCTTGTCAAAACTTTTTTATAATATTTTTCTGGAATTTTATTATATTTTTAATTGGATCTTGTGCTATTCTTTTCACCTCTAAATTTTTTGTTATTCTCACACACAGTGAATGGTTCCCCCTTTTACATAGTGAACTGTGATCTGTTCAAAACTTTTTGTAATCTGAGTATGTGTTTATTTGCTGTTGTTCTATGTAAAATACTTGTGGATTGAAGTCCACTGATTTTGATCTGATGAGAGTATAAGCTGTGTGTATGTTTACTGTGTTGAAAATGATGGCAGCTTGGCTTATATTACAGTAGGTCTTACCTAGATTAAGTGACAAATTAAACTTAATTTCAGGTTGCATTTCTTGCTGGTATTTATCCCCAAAATTGAGTGAAATAGGGCAATGTACTAGTTGTCTGTTTGCCTACAGGTTATTGTTATAATGCTCTTAATTTATTTATGGTGAGATTTAAATATGATAAACTTAACTAAGTGCGGCAATGAAATTTGTTAGATGGTGTGGACTGTGGAGTTTGATTTTTTTTTCCTACTTCCATTTAACACTCCTGGAATAAAACACGTTTTTATTTTTAATGACGTTCAACTGTTTCTTTTCAGGGAGGGGATTCTAGCACAAAAAGAGCTAAGTTTGATCAAGATGCTGAAGGGAAAGTCAGTGAAGAAAGAATTACTGTTGAGAGAGGCAGCAAAGATCAGGAGCAGCATGTGGATGCATCAAAAGAAACTACAGTTGGCACATCCAATGTATCTACTGCAACTAGAACTGAAAAGTCCGGTTATGATGAACTTCCGAAAGAACTACATGAAATGAAAATTAGAGAAGAGAAAAGCAAAAACACTAATGAAAAGGTATTTAATGTCATTCATTTTTTCCTTACCTAAATTCCATACCTATTTTAGTCATTAGTCATTACTGTGTTAATCTATAAATATAAAATCATTTCTAGATATTCCGTATTCATTGCGTACACCCCACATGCAACTTTCTTTTCCCACCAAAATTTCCTAAAACAAGTTACTTTTATGTTTTAATTTTATGAATCTGAAAAGTCTTTGAATGCCATTAATTTTTTATTGTTACTAATAAATTTGCTCAATGCAGGATATAGAAGCAACTACAGTGAGTGGTAATGGAGCAGAAACAGGTCACATTATTACAACTGCTATTGGTGGTAGAGATGGACAACCAAAGCAGGTGATTACTTTATTATTGCTACATCTCCATTAGTTCCTTTACTTAAAAGATTTTGCTTACTTTTGTTTGCAATGGTACATGATAATTAAAAAAACTTATTAACCGTTTGTTACAAAATCTAGAGCTTTTAAAACTTATATAGTTTTATCTTGTCTGGCTCAGACAATCTCATACATGGCTGAACGTGTGGTTGGTACTGGTTCTTTTGGCGTTGTTTTCCAGGTATTTATGTTCTTGTTACGGTATTTTTATATACGTAATTGTCTTTTGCTTTTGTGTTCTACAGGCTTGTCAATTTCTTGTTTGCTTATTTGCAATATTCTGTATTTTTTGTAGGCTAAGTGCCTTGAAACTGGTGAAGCAGTTGCCATAAAGAAGGTGCTGCAAGACAAGAGATACAAGAATAGGGAACTCCAGGTTATGCGGACAGTTGACCATCCTAACGTTGTTAAACTAAAGCACTGTTTCTTTTCAACTACCGATAAAGATGAGTTGTACCTTAACCTGGTTTTGGAGTATGTACCCGAAACTGTCTACAAAGTTTCAAAGAACTATATTAGGGCGCACCAACATATGCCTATCATTTATGTGCAACTGTATACATACCAGGTAAGTCTAGAAATTGTGAGTTAATTAACATTTGATTTTGGTATGAATTTCCCTAGAGTTTTGGTTCTTGTTAATTGCTTTGAGCTTGGTATTTTTGTGTTTGTATTGATTGGTCATGCAATGCTTAACTTGTAGATATGCCGCGCATTGAATTATTTACATCAAGTGATTGGCGTCTGTCATCGTGACATCAAACCCCAGAACCTATTGGTAAGATTTGTATGGGTTAGTTTGAACAGTTCAGCCTGAGTCATGGTTTTTGTTTTCCTTATTTTTTGTTATTTCCTTACCACTTTGGATGTGCCAATTGATCATAATGACATGTCTTATTATTATTTTTCGGGGTGGGTGGGGGGTTACATTTGTGAGTTGTTGATTATCTATATGTATTTCTTAGAAGGAAAGCACTAGACAGTTAACAGTGCTGCATTTTTTTTAATTTGTGATTCATACCATGTGGAAAAATTTGATTGAGATTTTTGTATATAGAAAAATGAATGGACTAAGAGTAACTTGTAACAGCATACTGCTTAGAATTCATCTTTTTTCCATCAAAGTGCATTGAACTCACATGTGATTAATATGATAGGTTAATCCCCAGACACATCAGTTAAAGATATGCGATTTTGGCAGTGCAAAGATGTTGGTAAATTCCTTTTCCTACTGTATTTGAAGATCTTTTGATAGTATGTATCTAAGCTTATGATATTATTGCATTTTTAGGTGCCTGGTGAACCCAACATATCATATATCTGCTCTCGATATTATAGAGCTCCAGAACTTATATTTGGGGCAACTGAATATACAACTGCGATTGATATGTGGTCTGCTGGGTGTGTTTTGGCTGAGTTCCTTCTAGGACAGGTGAGGATATGCACTATTTTATTTTGTTTCCATTTCTTCTCTCTCTCTCTCTCTCATAATGAGGGTCAGTTTTCAAATTTCAACATTTTCATTAAGTTTGTTGTATGTAAGAAAATTCTGGATTGGTTTTTCCTTTACTTGGTTGATATTGATATTTAATATGCTGCTCAGTTTTGGTGAAAATTCATTTATGTTAAATTTGTTGCTTGTTTTACTTTAGTCACTAAGCCCTGCAGTTATATAGGCTAGCATATTACCTTTGTAATTTCGGTTTGAGATATGAGAAATTTTGACCTTGGAGTACTGCAGCATGAAGTAACATGCAATGGATTTATTGCAGAAATGCTATGACTTGCTGTTGTTTAAGATATCTTCCTCTAAACATTTGACTCAGAAAGAGATTATTCCTTTCATTGTGCCTGCTATTTAGGTCCAAGTAAAAGATACATATTTAGATTGATATTTATCTATGCTGTATTATTTGCAGCCATTGTTTCCTGGAGAGAGTGGGGTTGATCAGTTAGTGGAGATCATTAAGGTACAATTTCTTGTGTTCTACCCACTCCTTTTGCTTTATGAGCTTCTTCTTCAAAGTTGCAATTTGTGTACTTTTTCCTTCAATTGAGCTTTTTAATATGTAATTTAGGTCTTGGGAACGCCAACTAGAGAAGAAATAAAGTGTATGAATCCAAACTACAATGAATTTAAGTTTCCTCAGATTAAAGCACACCCGTGGCACAAGGTTAACATTTCTTTCCTTGGCTACTTCCCTCAAAATTTTGTATGTAATTCATAAATGATAAATATTTCCATTCAGATCTAACTGAATTAATGATTTCCAGGTTTTTCACAAGAGAATGCCACCTGAAGCAGTGGATCTTGTGTCTAGGCTGCTTCAGTATTCACCAAATCTACGTTGCACTGCTGTAAGTTAATTTGCTTTAGAAAATGATACTATTTATATTCATATTATATATTTAATCACACTACTGTTCTGTCTGCATGCACACACACACCAAAAAAGGAAGACGGACTATTCTTACATATAATTGTTATTTATGTTTAAAGTCACTACATAAGTTAGGAAAATATTCAGCACTTTTATTAGTCTGTTGTCCTAAATTTTTCTTATTTATAGTTGGCTGCATGTGCACACCCTTTCTTTGATGGTCTGCGGGACCCAAAGGCATGCTTGCCAAATGGGCAACAACTACCTCTTTTGTTCAATTTCACAGCTCAAGGTAAAGATTGTTTTGAACTTTACCATTTTTGGTTATGTGGTACTTTGTTGCTGTAGCTTATATAAAAAAACAATGCAGAACTGGCAAATGCACCTGATGAGTTGTGTCAACGTCTCATTCCCGAGCATGCAAGGACCAAGGTGTTAAATTGATTGTCAGGCATTGAAATTTGTTCTGAATGAGTAGATACCCTCATTAGCAATGCTACCAGCCTCTCCTGATTTGTTGTCTAGCCTGCACAGTTGTGACTACAACTCATAGAAACCTTAACACCTTGCAACAAAAGTAACCCTTTGTAGTGGTTTGTTATTTGATTTATGCCTTAGTTGTGAAGGATAATGAGTTCCAACAATCTTGTAATCATGTTTCTATATAGTTCAAGTTCGTTTATTCCTTAAAGTGGACTCAGAGTATGTCAAATTCTATGATGAATTGGACTTGCGTATTTATTGAAGCATTAAAAAGCCGTTCTAAACATTGCCTTTCATATCAGAGTGATAAAGATTATGAGTAGTGACGGAAAACATTCAACCAAGTATTGTATGAATTTGATAAGTCACTTCTTATTGGTAAGGTTTATTTAGAATTTCATCAGATAAAAGGGGAATATAAAAAAGTGTCAACCTATATATATATATATATATTTGTTTCGATTTTTTTTTTGAATTAAAATTTTTGTAATTTCAATAAAATTTAAAATCACGTTTTATTGGTAAGGTTTATTTAGAATTTTATCAGATTAAAGGGGAATGTAAAAAAGTGTCAACCTTGTTTGATGTAAGAAGATGCAGCCTCATTTGATTGATATTCTCTTATATATATTCAACTAGTTATATTGATTAATTGCAAATTGCGCTCGAACGTGATATCTTTACATTTGTCACCCATGTGATAGGAATCATCTTCTCATATTAAATAAAATATGATATGGTTATGTGAGAAAGTTATAATTATATAAAGATACATGAATGATGATAAGGGAAAAGAGAAAAATATATATTAAAATAGGTAGTTACAAAATTATCACCGTTAGTTTACATTTATATGATTGTGTTTTTCTTACATGATCATCATAAAGCTAGTCTCGAAATATTAATAAGGTTTGTGGGTAATTTTGTCTAGTAAGTAAGGGAATATATATAAAGTACATCTTCAGATTTTTCACTCCTTTGATATGTTATTGATTGAATTCATAACTTCCAAATGGAAAACAGCAACGCACGCAGCAATTGCAATGCTTAGTACTTAAGTAATAGTGCTGAAAAGGAAAGGGTAAAAAAAACAAAAATAAAGAAGCTCAGATTTATTTGTTTTCATCGAATGGATGAGAATGTGATGGACCCACCATCACTTTCGATTTTCATCATAGCTCCTTGTAAGTATGCACCAGCCGGGAATCGAACCCGGGTCTGTACCGTGGCAGGGTACTATTCTACCACTAGACCACTGGTGCTTGTTGTGTAAGACTTTGTTGTGTAAGGATTACCTACCTATAATTATTTATCAAATAGTTTTAGGAATTAATGTTAATTTTTTTTCTATACACATGTAAAAGTGCGTGAGACTCATGTAAGGATCATGTAAAGAGAAGAGGAAAAAAATGGGTTACATATTTTTATGTGTATAAGAGATAAAATTTATCTTCTATAACATGATAAACATTAATCTTATAGTTTAATTAGTTTGTTGCTTTTGTATTTATTTTTTCTGCAACTAATATTTCGTTTAATATGTTTTTTTTGGGGGTGTTAATTTTAATTTATAACCAATAGTTAACCAAAACAAGTAAGGCATAAAAACTAAATTGATATTTGCTACAATATGTATGTAAAGAACTACGAAACAAGGATGTAATATTTTTTTTTTACGGGGAAATTACTCTCATGTTACATGAGAGTAGTTCTCTCATGCTATAGAGATAATTCAAGTGGGGCCAACTATTAAAAAGAAAAAAAGAAAATGTATACGATTTTCGAAGTGAGAGAACATGAGATAATTATCTCATGTAAAATGAGAATAATATTTCCCTTTTTTCATATTAGTTTAGTATTTCATAACTATGGGTCTTTGTGTTTTGTTTGTTTTATCCTGGAACAAGTATTTTTTTGTGATTTTCCTAAATTAAAAGTCAAAATATAAAACAATAACAATTCATATATTTCTTTAAATTTGATTCTAAAAACTTATGTAGCACCGATCGATACTGACACGGGACACGATACGACACGACACGTTAATTCTAAAAAGTGTTAGATTTCGACACGTTAGAACACGTTTTGATATTGAATAATATTTTTAATTTATGTTGCGTATATTATATTTAATATTCAATAATTTAACAAAAAATAAAGCTAAACTTATAATACCTATTAATTTTGAAAAGAAATATAAAATATCACAAATATTTATATTAAATTCAATAAAATGGTAATAGTAATCCAACGAATTTAATTGTTAGAACTAAAAACGCAACGTAACTTTTAAACTTTTTTTTGAGTTTCTACAATGCGTGTTGAAATTCGGGGAGTGTCGAACACGACACATCGGGATTTTTGAAGTGTCGGTGCTTCATAGTTAAAAACTAGTACATAGTTATAATTTTTAGAATTATTTTTACCAAATAAACATTATCAAACAAGTTTTTTTAATTTTTTTATTTTGAAAATCCAAAACCTATTTTTAAAAATAGATTTCAAACTGGGCCTATTTAATTAATGAGATTAATATTGTTTCTCATGTTATCAGTGATAATTCTATCTCTTACATATATATAAAAATATGTGAAGTATATGTGAGTTTATGTAAAAAGAGGAGAAAAAATAGAAAATATAAGTTCACACACTTTATATATATATATATGAATTTTATTAATCTCATGTTAAAGAAGATAAATTATCTCATGTCATAGAAAAAAATTTGTGGACTCCATCACCTGAAAAAATGAAAAAAAGAGAAATAAAAAATATAGTACAGTTGTATAAATGAAAACTTATCTTATATGTAACATGAGAATAATTTTTTTCCTATATAAAAGATAAAATTATTTATTATAAACACAAATCCCTTTACTAATTCTCCGCGTTTGGTTTCATTTTTTTTTTTTTTCAGTAAATGGTTTCACTTCTTTTTAAAAGCGATTACAGTATGCTGCAATGGGAATTGATTCCCTCGTCTGTAGCCTGACGTTGAGAAAAAGTAAAAGAGAAGCCAAACCGACTGTTTAAGATATTTATCAATATTAGTTGTTTATCACCTTTTACGCGCTTTCTATTTGCCGGCAAACAACGCTTCAAACTTGAGCGTACGTTGAAGGATTCTTATTCCTCCATTATTCATTCATTCATTTATTTTTTCTTAAAGTGCATCGTAACTCATAAGGGATATGAAACACAGATTTGATGTTTCTGTCTATAGGATCCCCCAAACATGTCAGAGAATAAAATATAAAATATTCAAAAGATCATCACCTATCACCTTAAAGTTTTTGGTTGAAATAGTTCTTTACACGGTATCCGAGCTTCAGTGAGTGACCATGAGATTACGAGTTCGATCCTCACAGCCTCCCATTTTCAGGTGGAATTAATGGGCTTGTGCTGAGCTTGTGCCATATGCACGCTAACTCTTGCATGAGGAGATGTGTTAGAAAATAAAATATAAAATATTAAAAAAATCATCACCTATCACTTTAAGATTTTGGATTGAGTTGGTTGTTATCAAAACAAGAAATTGACATCATGTTCATACTGAGAAAATTCAACCTATTTTGCTTCGAAAATTTAGAATGATGGAAACGACAAACGGATCTTAGGGTAACTTTATTGAATTTCTTAACAGCAAAACGTGGCAATATATGCATTGCAACACGAGCTTTTGCACGAGGATCATATATGTTAGCTATGTTGGCATTTAACTCATGTAAGAAATCTAAAATAAAAAGGTTCGCATTGAATTTTTTTAGCAAAACTGTGTGAACCTTTATCACAATATATATGTGAATTAAAATTTGACGTTCTACACTCTTTGCCTACTAATACAAAAAAATCGAATATTAACAAAAAAAAATTGTAAACATTCAAATAATGTTAGGGTAGTTCCACCAAAATGGAACACCCGTAGCATCTCCACTAGAGTTCTTGTCACCGACATGGATTCCGGTGAACCGATCCGTTTTCTTAACCGGTTCCTCCGTGGAAATTAAGTATTCCTCCGACGTTGGCACCCTTACAGCGAAATGAATAACCCCACTTCGCTTCCCTTCCCAGTCCCTTAACCTATAACTCAACACCTGCATGCAATTTTCCGGCACACTACCGCAGCCGCCGAGAAAATCCGAAACCGCAATTCTGGCCACACCAACGGGTCGAGCCCCGTTGGACTTCTTGCATTGCACTTCGAAAGTGATGGACCTTGCATGCACCGGCATGTCCAATAACATTTTTTCGTTCCAAGAAAGGAAACTTGAGTTGTTGCTGCCACTATCTTTGGCCATTTTCGTGGTGCAAAAGTTTATGGACTCGGCTCGAACGACGACGTATGCGTCCTCCTTCACATTAAGGTTTTCACCTGATATAACCGTGATCTCTACCGTGCGTGTGCTTAACCCCATAGAAGAAAATGTTGTATACAAAGATATGTGTGTGTATATAACAATGAATGTATCTAACTGTGTGCAACTCTCTTTGGTTTGTTTATTGTTGTTTTGGGTTGTTTGTGAGGGAGAAGACATGGTTATATATATAATGGGTTTTAGAAGGGAACGCGGAAGAGAGAAAGAAAGAAAGATCGAAATTCGTGAGTTGTTTCTGTGTTTTTTCCTCTCTCTTTTTGATGACTTTTGACTTTGAAGTTTGACCTTGTTGCATCGTACTCGTTTGTATACTCACGCTGTTTGGTTGATTTCTTTGAGAAATTAGATAGAAACACCGAATGATTATTAAATGTATATGTTTTGCGTGGACAATACGGGTGCGCCTTGGTGCGACAAGTTTGATGGCACTATCTCTTACCAGAAAATAATATGAATGTTGTGTAATTATTTGACGACAAAAAAACACTACCAATATAATTTAATTTTTTTTTCTAATTAATAACACTTTTGCGGAACAAGTGACCAAAGTGCCACGTTTAGACAAAAAAATTTATCAGACCGCCACGTCAACAGTAAATTTTACCAAAATGTCGCGCGGTATAATTCGTTACATAGTGTAGCGAATTATGCATGCAAGTAATTCGCTACACAGTGTAGCGAAATTTGTCACGTCAGAACGAACAGAACCAAAAATGCCACAGGTCAAATTTTGCAAAATTCGCTACATAGGGTAGCTAATTTTGCAAAATTTGACATGTGGCATTTTTGGTTCTGACGTGGCATATTTCACTACACTGAGTAGGGAATTATGCCGCGTGTCATTTTGACAAAAATTACTGTTGGCGTGGCAGTCTGGTAATTTTTTTGTCCAAACGTGACAAAATGGTCACTCTCCCCACTTTTGCATGTTATTAATACTGTTACAATTTTTTAATGACTTGTAAATTAGAGAGAGGTAATAGATTTATATAAAAGAAAAAAAAATTCTTAGACGAGAGTAAAATTAATTATGTAAAAAATCAATTTAACCCAAAAAATTAAATTTATAATAGATAATACTATATCAGCTGGCTTTGCTTTATAGACCGAGTTCAATAGTGTTGGAAAACAAAAATTGAATCGTGAACTTTTTCCTCAACGTAACAGAGTTTTTTTATTATTATTTATATGTGTGTGACTTTTTAGTTTAAGTTTGGAGTAAATAAATTGTTAATTTCTTATGTGCCAAGCTAAAATGAAAGATATTGGTGAAAATTACTCATAGCTTTGCAGAGAAACTATTAGGTGGAAATCATCGACTAAACGTCAATTGAAAAATGTAGAAAGTTGAGTGTATATATAACTGCTAACCCTGCTGAGTCATTAGGCACACGTCAATAGCAAAATTGATTGTACCTACTAACCGGTAACAAGTAAGTTTTACTTGCTCGTGCAGAAATAATTGGATCGACGGAAACGTATAGTACTATTAATTGTGATTTGGTATATTAACGTTTATCAACACAAATAATATATTTCTTGTAGGATAAACGCACAAATTAAAATGCCCTTCTAGCTCTAGCGTTGAATCTCTTCGTTTTAAACTACTACAATAATTTTCTTATAAACAGTGATTACGGGATGGATAGATCTTCCGAGCTAGGTCTTGAGAGAGAAGAAAAGAGTATATGGATCCTATTTCTTCTTTCAGAAACGATTTAAGGGATTAAAATAAGGGGATTAATTTTCTCATTTTATATGAGAATCATGTTACACACACAATACATGAGTACGTAGAGTCCAAAAAAAGTACAAAAACAAAAAAATCAAGATAGGTCCCAAAACAAAAAAATCAAGATAGGTCCCATCTTTAAATTGTGAGTGTAACATGAGAAATTTTTCTGATGTAAAATGAGAAAACTATTTCTCTTAAAATAAAGGGATAAGTTTTTTTATTTACTTTTTTTTTCTTGTTACCTTTACCTATATATCACTCTTATCCTCATTATATGAGAATCTCGATAAGAGATAAAAATTAAAATAAAAATAAAATATAATCTTAAACTTTCCTTGTACCCTTCTCATATTTTAAGCAGTAAGGCTGATGACTGATGTTTTGGGTTTGCAATATTATATCGTCACTTTGAGCTCACACTCTTAAGAAGACCATGAACTCTGTGCCAAAATAAAGGTCTTGAACTCCAAATAGGCGATAAATCTTCTTGCGTAAGATGAGAAAATCATTAAATATCAACATAAGAATTTACAACATAAGCATTGGAACATGAACATTAAATGTTATTTTAGTAATTATGATCAGATTATATTTTTTGAAATATATATATATTCCTTTTGCAATTTTGACGAGTGCAGGATGGAACTTTCAGTTTTAGAGTAACGTTAAGGTATCAGAATGTGCTACGAAGGGAATTCATTCCGATACCTGTAGCATAACGTTGGGAAAAAGTAAAGGAGAATTAATTTTAGTTCTTTATCAATTATCACCTCGTACGCGCTTTCTAAATGCCTGCCAAGTGCCACAACCACGCAACTTGAAGTATGTTGATGGATTCTCATTGAAACTTCTTTCTTGTCTTATAAATGCGTTGTAACATACATTTTGATAAATTTGAACGACGAAAATGACAATCGTTATGTAACTTTAAATAACATTTTAACAGCAAAGCGTGACCGCTTGTGAACATGGGCTTTTGAATGTGTGTGTAACTTTATAATTTTGGTGTTAATCTTTATTAATACTTTCTTTCTTTTATATATATTTTATTTTATTTTATCGCTTAAATGTTCTGCAGAAGAGAGTTCTTGCCACTTATGCGGAGGCTCATATTAATTAAGGAGAAAATATTTATTTTTTAAAGCACAATTATTTTAATTAATTTTTTTTTTCATTTTCTCTCTTTATAAATTTTGTTTCTTTCATCATAAAATACAGTACTTTTAATTAAAATAACATAATTTGATGATGATGAATATTAATTCTTATTATTAATACTTTCTTTTACCAAAGTGATCTGTATCACAAGTAAACGTACAAAACTGAAATTGAATGAACCTTTATCACAAGGTACATGTGAATTAATTAAATTTGACTTTTTGCACTCCTCAAAATGGTGTGGTGCAATTTTTTTTGAAGAGGCAAAATTATGATATATATATATATATATTTCTTTAAAGTGTGCGGCTATTTATATAACAAAAAATAACATCACAATTCAAAGATTCTGTAAATTTTGAAGGAGATGATCACTAATTATAAAATAAAAAAAATAATGTTCCTACCAAATAATATTACTATCAATATTATTATTATATTTCAATTATTAATTTTCATCAATTAACAATTATTATTTATTATAAATTAATAATTAATTAATGAATTTGATAATAACCCTTAATTAATGAAAATTAACAGTCAAAATATGATAGTGACATTAATAATAATATTATTTGGTAATAAGAATATCTTATTCCATAAAATATATATATTCAAATTTAAAGAATTGAATACACTTGAAGGGACTACTGTTCTTTAATTAATATATAAAAAATCAAATAATTAATAATAATAAAAAAAAGCAAAGTAGATCTTCAAATAATGTTAGGGTAGTTCCACCAAAACGGAACACCAACAACAACTCCGTTACAGTTCTTGTCACCAACATTGATTCCCATCAACTGATCGCCGGCATCCTTATTACATGCCACCATTCCCTTCACCGGTTCCACGGCGGAAACCGCCGCCACCCTCACCGAAAAATGAATAACCCCGTTTCGTCTCCCTTCCCAGTCCCTCAACCCGTAACTCAACACCTGCAAGCAATTTTCCGGCACATCGCCTCCTAGAAAATCAGAAACAGCGATTCTGGCCACCCCAAGAGGTCGAGCACCCTTGAACTTCTTGCATTGCACCTCGAACGTGATGGACCTTGCATGCAAGGACATGTCCAACAAGAACTTCTCGTTCCACGAAATGAAACTCGAATTTTTATTATTGCCGTCACTTTTTTTTGCCATTTTCGTTGTGCAGCTTTTGATGGACTCAGCCCGAACGACGACGTACGCGTCCTCCGTAACACTAAGGTTTTCGCCAGATATAACTGTGATCTCTAGCGTGCGTGAACTTAACCCCATATATGGCAGAAGAAGTTGTGCACAGAAATATATATATATATATATATATATATATATATATATATATATATATATTTATATGTGTGTATGTCAGTATGTGTGTAACAATGAATAGTGTATATCGCTAAGTTTGTAAGTGTGTTGGGTTTGGGGTGAAGGGCGGTGATATATGTAATGGTTTTGAAAGGAAACAAGAAAGAAAGAAAAAACAAAAATTGATGAGTTGTTTCGGTGTTTTTTATTTGTAAAATGTGTGTGGAATTTTTTTGGCTTTGGACATTGACTTGACAGTGATTAACGCGGCAAGTATTGGGGCAATGTATTGTTTGGGAAGAAATTATATCGAAGCACGGACAATTGCTAAAAGAGTGCGTGTGGTTTTTGGTACAAGTTTACTATGCCACTGTCTCTTAGTAGAAAATAATAATTTTAATGCTAGCTGTGTAATTATTTGACTACAAAATATATACAACTAAGTTCATATTAATAACAAATTTTCATGTTATTATATGTGCGAAAAATATGTCTTATTAAAATATATAATTTTGTGTCATTTTATATTTTAACCGTTTATTTTCGTCAATCAACGGTTAGGATTTATTGGGTCAAATTATTAATTAATAAAATCCAATAAATTCTAAGTTAATTGACGAAAATCAACGGTTAGAATCTAAAATGATACAAAGTTATATTTTTAAAAAATATATATTTTTCACATTATATGTATATATACATAGGGGAAGGATATTGTAACAACCAAGTTATGTTACTACCATGTTATTACCAATCAATCTCACCGTTAGATCGATTACGTTGATCCAACGGTTGTATTTCTTTCCATCTTTGTATAGTTATGATTCTCCATATTTAAAGTGAAAGCATTAAATATGAGAAATTATAACATACAAAGGTGAAAATAAATATAAAATATTAAATTTGAGAAATCATGACCATACAAAGATGGAAATAAATATAATCATTGGATCAACATAATCGATCTAACGGTGAGATTGATTGGTAGTAACGTGATAGTAACACAACTTGGTTCTTACAATATTCTTTTCCATATACATATATGAGAAATACTTTTCTTATGTTGTAAGAAAGTTGTTACCTTATGTTGTAGAAATAAAATTACAAGTGAGATCCACAGATAAGATGAGAGAAAAAAAAGAAAGGTGGGACCCACTCCTCTTTTATGTGTGTAGAAAAATTATTTTTCTCATGTAAAATGAAATAAATATAACCCTACATATATCAAGCCTCTCCTGTAGGTGTGGATCCACTAGATTGAATACTATAGTGATGCTCTCTCATGCAACTTTAAATTTAATTTTTTTTATCGGTCGACTTAAAAATTCTTGTTATATAAATTATGGGCTTAACATCTTTTCTGTCGTAGGAGAGATTGAAATTTTTCAACAGAAATAAAAAAAATGAAAACATGAAATTCGAAGTGACACGACAGAAGAAATACACTTATCCAGCAGAAGTGTATTTCCCATGAATTATTATATGGAACTTATGAAGAAAAGCTGAGACAACATGTGGAGTTTTTTTTTTTTTTTAAAGAAAGGCTGGCACAAGTTTTAATGGATGTGCAGGAGAAGTTTTCTTTCTCCAAAAATAGGAGAGTTACATTTCCCTTATTATATTTAGCTATTTGCACACCCCTCAATGGAAAATGCATAATTCTCCTTCTTCATTTTCTATTTGGTGTCTAATATTCACTTTTAATCAATTTGCAATATTTTATGCAAGCAAAAATTTATAAGATCACATCAATAAATTATCAATGCACAAATTTACATACTACAATCTCTCTAACAGTCTTTTTTTTCTTTCAAAATAGTCTGTGTTAAGAATGGTATAGAGGCTCAAAAATATCGATAAAGAATATCTCCATCAATTGGTCAAATGACAAATTATAAATAGACTGACATCTTATCTCAATCCAAAATTTTAAAACTGTAACTTTATGGGTTTTTTCACATTTATAGTCATCACTTGCCTTCTAATAAAGCCTCTCCAAATACTCGGCCTAGCCAAAGTATTATATGGTATTAGACGACATCTCTATCAATGGATCAAATAATAAATTAAATTAGGCCGACACTACATTTTAACTCAAAATATTAAGATTATTAGTTTATGGATTTTTTTCATATTTATAAGGTCCTCAATTAGTCTATCTCTAGTCAATATAAGACTTTATACCACAACTGGTAGTTGAATATTTCCAACAATTTGTATACAAATTTACAAATACCACATATAATCAATGTGCGGATCCACATTGTACACTACGGGGCAAAAAGTCGGCACTAAGCAGGGGCGGTGCCACCCCCAAACTATTTTTTTTTTTCCTTTTAAGTATTATATATTGGGAAATGTTATATGTACAAACTACAGTAATATGTCTGACCGATAAGATATTTTTGAGTAAAGTCTTACCGATTAAATATAATGTAATTTATAAGTTTGTAAAAAAAGTTTATCAATATAATCATTCTCTTATATATTTATCCTTCTCTTGTATATTATCCTTTAATAATCTTCCAAATAGATTAATGTGCACTACTTTTTAAATGTTTATTGGGTCCATGTGAATGAGAGTTCATTGAGCATCCTAAAAAGCATTTCTTGTTCTGCCGGTCCCCCCCCTCCCAGAAAAGAATATCTAAGATGTCGACCATGTTCGGGAGCATGTAAACGTTATAGTATTTAACTATGGGGTTTGATTTTCTCGTGTTGAACGAGAATTCAATTTTTATGTTGTAGAGATAAAAAACATGTGGGATCTATGTGTTAAAAAAAATTATATGTAAGATCCATCTCAGCACGAAAATCGAAGGGTGTGTAGGAAAATTTAAATTCTCATGTTAAATGAGAATTATAAAACCCTTTAACTATTTATGGTTATCCAATTCGTTAAAGTTAAAAAAAAGAAGATAAACATATAAAGGACGAATAAAGAGCACAAAAATTTAAAAGATACAACGTCAAGCAGTACGTACGCATCGTCATATTCCCCCACGTAAACGTTATAGTATTTAACTATGGGGTTTGATTTTCTCATGTTGAACGAGAATTCAATTTTCATGTTGTAGAGATAAAAAATATGTGGGATCTATGTGTTAGAAAAAATTATATGTAAGATCCATCTCAGCACGAAAATCAAAGGGTGTGTAGGAAAATTTAAATTCTCATGTTAAATGAGAATTATAAAACCCTTTAACTATTTATGGTTATCCGATTCGTTAAAGTTTATTAAGAGTAAACACCATTTTTAGTCCTTGTCAATATCTACGAAGTCCTTTTTAGTCCCTGACAATAAAAAAAGACCAAATTAGTTCCTGAAATTACAAAAAAAAGGTCATGTTAGTCCTTATGTCAACTCCCAAATATGTAGAGTGACCCTTTTCTTGTACTTTCAGGGACCAATTTGATCCTTTTTTATTGCCAGGGACTGAAAAGAACTTCGTAGATATTGCCAGGGACTAGAAAATATGTTTACTCAAATATTAAAGAAGGAAAAAGCAAGAGTCTAGGCTTAGCTCCTTTTGTATTATATCCTGCTAAGAAATTTCGGTGTTTACTAAAAATAAAAATAAAAACAGAAAGTAATTACGATGCATAAACTTGGAAGTTGAAGATGGGTCGATCAAACGACTTGAAGTCGATGCACTACCAAAGGAAGCTGCAGAACGTTTAATAGGGGGCAGTGACTCTTCACCCTCCCGATACGTGTAATCATACTTCGCGGACCCTCATCGTCTCACTCAATCAGCATAGATTGAATGATGTGTGAAAGAAAATTAGAATGATAAGCTGGTCACGATGAAGCCTCGAGCTAAAAAAATTAAAATCTTAGTTTGATATTTGGTTATTTTCTTTTTTCTTTTAAAAAAAATCATTTATCTTCAAATTTTTGCTGTAGGACGTGCTTCATTTCGGGAAGAGTTTGGTGGTTTCAAGTTTGAGTTTCTTGAACATAAATCATGTGTTAAAATTATGTAAGGAAAGTTTGTCATCCATGTGGACTCAGAGTAATTGATAAACTCATAAACCGATGAATAATATATATATATATATATATATATATATATATATATATATATATATATATATATATATATATAAAAGAGTTTCTTTCTGAGTGATGGTCAATTTCAGTTATATAAAATATTAATTCAACACAAAAATTTAAGTTATTAACAAATGAAGGTTCCATGATTTTATATTATATTTAATATGTCTTTTCAGAATCCATTGGGCTTGAATAATAAACAAAGTACAAGCCCCTTTTACATATGTTAATAAATTTCACATATTAATTATTTATTAATAAAATGAGAGATAATAAGAATTAAATTTATGACTATTTAATCAATGAAACTTTGATATTATACAAAATATCAATTCAACCTAAAATCTTAATCTATTAAGTGAAAACTCATCACTTATATTATGCATCTTTAACAATTTTAAAATAAAATTACTGACATGATTTTATTTTAACTTTTTTATCAAAAGCTAATATCTTTAGATATGAACACTAAAACAGTAACTTATCTTATTATTATAAATTTTCAAACATTTTTAATTAAAATTCCTTTTTAAATCAAATAAACGACATATTGGAAGGGTCAGGGAAGGTACTAGTTACAACTTTCAACAAAAGGGAAGGATCCGTTTATAAATTTTTTGACAAATTTTTACAAATTGCACTATATTCTCCTAAAAGAATATAGTGAAAACTTAGTATTCTCTCAGGAGAAAATAATGTAATTTATAAAAATTTATAAACAAAAAAATTTGTAAATATAATATGCTATTCCCCACATTCTATAATTGACCTGTGGACCTGTGGTTAGGTTAATGACTAGATGGATTCGTGGCCACTTGCTAGCTGTAAATATATAATAAATACTCAACTTTGTATTTTCTTTGTTTTTGAATTCCATGTTAAGTTGATGACTTCCACCTAAAACTTTCTCTGCAAGTTGTGAGTAATTATCACATACATCTTTCAATTTAGTTTGCCATATATATAAGAAATTGATTAGTTATAAAAAGCAGTGTTTTAAAATTGCGGTTATCGAACCGGTCGAAGTACTGAGTCACTGGATCACTGGTTTAATCGGGTTAAATCAAATTTACTCTTCTCATATTAAAAATATAAAAATATTACTTATATTAATAAAAATTCACATAAGAAAACTATCAATGAGCTTCAAAAAATAAATTGATTTTCAATGATAGCAAATATTATATACTTCTAAGCTTCTAGTTCTAGACCATATCCTAATATTGGATTAAAATTGCAATATAAGTAAAATGCACCTTTTGTGCTTGACATTATACAGATAAATTAAATCATGATAACAAGTAATATGCATAAAATATACACTGAGAAAAAAGTGTCACCATTATCATGATAACAAATAGTATGCATGAAATATACACTAAAAAAAAGTGTTCACCGTTGAGATGAGATCATGAGACCATCAGTGTTTATCACCACTTAACTTCATGAAATCATTATAGATGCAACTAAATTACATAAACGAACTGCACTAATCTAAAATACCTTATTATTTTCACCTTACTTTTAATCATATTCATCATAAAATATGAATATGATTTAATTCAAGAGTTCTTATCAACAAAAAAAAAGTTATCAAAAAAAAAAGGAAAAAGAATAACCAGTCTAACCCGGATCAACTGGGTTACTGGGTCGCTGGATTTCGGCCAGGTCAACTGGTCCAATCCGTGTTGACTGCAAAAACGGTCCAACTACCCGCTCGGACCGGGGAACCCACCGGATCACCGAATCCCGGGTCGACCCGACCGGTCCAAGTCGAGTTTTAAAACACCGATAAAAAGGAGTATTTTCACTCCTAACTTAAACTAAAAAGTCACACGGACCGTATACAAAAAAATATTGTTACCTTTCACAAAAATTCGTGATTTAAACAATAATTATGGATTCAGGTGATAAGACTTCGTGCTTTTTAATTAGAGATTTTGAGTTCAAGTGAAAAAATAATTTTGGAAGAAACACACCAATATTAGTCCGAAATTGCTCAAATTAGACTAATTTTTTTTTTGATAGACTAATTGGATATTCTATGAACAGGTTGGGAAAAAAAAATCATAATTTAAGGGTCTGATTTATTTTATTTTATTTTTCAATGGACCAGGTCTATAAAATAAGGGAGTGAATCTCTCATGTTAAAAATTCACATGATTTGGTCATTTAAAATTTTGTGTCTATCTCTTAATTTCTTCGCTTACATTAAATAGGTGGGGTTCAATCTTCACTAACAAAGAAAGAGATATAAATATAAAAGTTTCATATAATCCTCTCATATAAAATTTATATATAATTCCCATAATTAAAATAAACTTTCTATGATCTTGCAAATTAATTGATTAATATTCAAATTAATTTAAAATAAACCTAAGAATTAAGTTGCAAGATCATATCTCCACCACCACCATCGTCACAGCCATTACCGTCATCACCACCACCATCGCCACCATTACTCCAATGCCTTCACTACCATTACACCAATGCCATCACTACCATTACCAAGCCATCGCCACTTCCACCACCACCACCACTGCCGCAGCCACTACCACCACCACCACCACTGCCACCACCACTGCCATGATGCCTTCACAACCACCACCACCATGTCACTGTTACCATTGTTGCCGCCACCCACCACCATTGTTGCTGCCACTGCCGTCACCTCCACTACCACCGTCCCCACCACTACCACCGTCGCTGCCACCATTATCACCGCCATCGTCGCAGCCACTGCCGTCACAACCACCACCACTATCTTCACCACGTCACTGCCACCACCACTACTGTACTGCCGCCGCTGCCACCACCACAACCACACCATATGGAAAGAAAAGAGTTGATCCGAATTTTTTTTATATTTAATAGGATTTATTTTTATTATATTATTTGTTGTGTTATCAACACAATTCTCATTCTCGGAATAAAAATGGAACATGTTATCAAACACATTTTTTTTCTCAGAAACTGTTCCAAGACACAGAAATAGAAAAGAATTGTTTTTTTTCAGAAACAGTGCTCGGGAATAGAATGGTTGTCATGCACACCCCAAACCGATTGGTTTTGTATTAAATAACTAAATGGATATCGATCTTAATTTAATTTTTTTCTTGAAATCAATCCTAGCTGATCCGCAAATATTTATTACAAGCTCATTGACTTTTCATCCGTAACTCTGTAACAACAATTAAGATGCCTTCACGAGTTAAAATTAAATTTACTTTCATTTTTAATGGTCCAGCAAATTATGCACGTACGTAATTGGTTAAGTAATTCTGAGTAGAACCACTAATAGTTACTTTCCAGTAGGATTCTAATGTACAAGATTAAGTTACTTCAGTTTTTATTTCATTGCTTTTATGATATATCGAACCTAATTATGTCTTTGATGCAAGTTAAACTTCGGATATTTTCATAAACTTCAACTTTTTGAGCCGGTTATAAGATTAATCTGGAGTCAGAACTTAGTCACACAGTTAAAGATCTTTGTTCCTCACCAAAGATATATTTGATTGAAATCGAACCTAAATTCTCTTTCCACGCACTCAGACTCTATTGCTAAGTAAGTTAAGCCCATTGGTTCAATTCATTGCTTTTGGATCATCATAATTAAGTAATTGACAAATAAGCACAGTTTTCTAACTTAATTTCTTTATATTAACATGTAATTAATGTACCCAAAAAAAAAAATATGTAATAACAATTATTGTACAAAAGCAAACCTATTTAAAGATGAATAATCCCTGAACAAACATGCTGCCTCTACATCTTATACAGATGCCATTGACAATAAAAGATACTTGATTAGAGAGAGAGAGAAAAAAAGATTTATTTTTACAAGCCATATTTATTATATATTCCCATCTTTTGTTGCTATATGAAGCAAACATTCTTCTTTTAATTTCATTGCAAAACCAAAAAAAAAAAGTAAATTAAAAGAAAAAGTCATAACTTTATCTCTATCAAGAAAAGAATAAAAAATAAATAAATCAAATATTGCTAGGGTAACTCCACCAAACTGGAATGCCAATGACAACATGACTTGAATTCTTATGGTCCACCTGAAACCCCATAACCTCATGAGGCTCAAATCCATTAGAACTCACCGTAGTTATTCCCAGTACCGATTTTGTTTCTGAACATGAACGATCTTCTGGTGTTATCACTCTCACTGAGAAATGAATAACCCCATTTCGTTTTCCATCCCAATTCCTCAAATTGTAACTCAACATCTGAAGGCAATTTTCCGAGACACTGCCACCAAGAAAATCCGAAAGTGCAATCCTTGCTACCCCAATAGGACGAGATCCCTTGTACTTCTTGCATTGCACCTCAAACGTCACTGACCTTGCATGCATGGGAATGTCTAACAAGAATTTCTCGTTCCATGCAAGCAAACCCTTATCTTCCTTCACCATTTTGGTGGTGCAAGAGTTAAGAGACTCAGCCCGAACGACGACGTACACGTTCTCTCCCATTGGACTTTGATCATCGACGCATATGTTTTCTCCAGATATAACGGTGATCTCTAAGGTGCGTGCATGTGTTTTTCTCTCCATATCTATGATAATTTTAAGTATATATGCACAACTATGTAATATATTTTGTGGAATCTAAGTAAAATATGAAAGTAATATCCACAAAAAAAAAAAATTAAGTAAAATATGAAAGTGTGTTGATGAGTGTATGATTTTGTGTTTGTGAAGGAAAGATTGTGAGATGAAAAGGTAGGAAGAGGTTGGTGGGTATAAGTAATGGGATTGGATGAGAAAATACGAGGAAAGAAAGGAACAGAAGCATACACGTTGTTTGCAAAAAAATTTAAAAACGAAGAACGCTGTTTGTAGACAAATAAAAAGAGTAAATAGTTTGTTGACCTTGACCGTGTTTTTTTTATTAAGTTTACGCGATTGACGTGGAAACTACTACGAAATTAAATTTTCTTGTTGAGCAAAATGTCACATCAAGATTCAACCAAAAGATTTTGTCATAGAGGTGGACTCCTTCAACAGGCTTGCAAAATGTTCTATGTAATTGCGCTTTGCAAGGAATTTCATTCGATTTCGTGTCTCTTTGCATGCATGTGAGGTTACCGTATTCCGTGGATAATTCCTTGTTGTGTACTCTACGTTCTAGTTGGAGAAAATTATACACAGTGGTTGGTGTATTGACGATGATCGATTCCTAGCATAAATGATTTAAATATGATTTTAGTAATTTTTCTTAATTTTAAGTTGGAGAGGAGAAAACCCCACACGCAGCACGGTAATTCACCATAAGACATCTAGTAATACAAATGGGAATTAAATCAGAAATAAACACATCCAACTAATGCCAGTGGAGGGATCGAACTAGAAAGTTTTAACTTTTAAAGTACTCGTGATCAAGTTTTTTTTTTTCTTTTTTATAATATTTATCGATTCATTGATTACTCAACTAGTCTGATTCGAACAAAGTAGAACCACATGGACAATAAATCTCTTCTACCAAGTTTTAATACAATTGCATTCCTAAAGTCTTGAACTCGAAAATAATGGTTAAGCTGGAATAACATTTACCAATTCGTCCACGTACTTGGTGATACGACCAATCTTTTCCAGTGGGAGATTCATCAATCAATCTGCATAAGAGTTTCCTCTTGGAAATTTTTCATGATGATAGCTCAATAGGATCGATACATATATAACATATAAAACACCACACATAATAAAATTTCGAGAATAAGGAATACCTGCTCGGGCCATCAAATCTACTGAACAAACTATGAGCTATTCTTCTTGCTAGAATCTTTCTCTCTATCTCCTAATGTGAAAGAGGCAGTCTTCTTGCGATGGGAGCATGATGGCTAATAGGGCTTAACCATATGCTAAAGAGGGGACCTAGCAAAACCCTAATCAACAGTGTGTCTGAGGGGTCCACCCATCACAGATGCCTAATTAAACACTAATGCCTACACAATGCTGCTCAACTAGGCCCGATATCAATAGATGCCAAAAGCTCAACTCAATATGATCACAATAGACTTATCATAACATATTAAATTGGAATATCCATTAACCCGATTATTTTAGAAAATCCAAAAACATTAATTAATATTGCCCACATTTAAAAAATTTAACATTCTCCCACTTAGGCTATATTAATTAATTTATTTTGTTTTGAAAATGACTCTATCGAGTTAATGACAAGGAATTTTTTTTTACTTGGCCATTATTTTGAAAATAATATTTCAATTCCAACATCTCAATCCAATCTAATATAACCTTATTGTAGGAACATGACGATTAATGTAAGAACCCGCATCGTTAATTAAAGAAGTTAATTAATTAATTATGAGAAATTAGGAAATAATTCCATAATTGACCCTAATAATTATTATGAGGGTTAGATAATTATAGTAAGTGAGAAATAATGCTAAAAGTCGCTTTTCGGACGAAAAGTGCAGATACCGGTTCTGCTACTCGGTATAAATGCGTACCGCTGAAGTACCCCGGAAAATTATAATAAATGTGAGAATATTACTAGAATAATATATAGGACTTGTAAAACAAGTTTCAAGTCAAAATAATGAGAATTGGTGCCAGAAATGATACTGGCTATGGAAAAGCGCGTACCGGAAAGGTGCTGCAAAAAATAAAATAAAAATATGAAAAATCTTAGAAAAATGAGTAGGTTCACAATCCTAAGTTTGAGATTAAAATGCTAAGCGTAGCTATTAGTGCTAGTACTGTGTGATTAACTCTAAATTGCCTATAAATAGTGCATTTCACACAACCCTAGGCTGATTCCTCAGTCTTTATGCGTGAGTGGGCTGCTGAGTGTGTGTCTCCATGCTATTCATCTTCTTCCTTGGCCTTCTTGCATGAAAAACCTCTCAAGTTACCTCTTTTTCCATTGATTCTTCTTCTTTCTACATGGTAAACACTTGGTAGAGTGGTTTGGGAGGGTTGAGTCAGCCATATACTAAGTTGGTGTCTCTGTTTTGGGAAGGTAGAGGGCTGCTCTTTTTGGTTGAGTATTGTGACCACCATTTCCTTGGTTGTGGAAGCTCCAAGGAGTGACCTTTGAAGAGAGAGAACCATTGTGGTGTGCCATTTTCGTTTTCCTTCAAAGTCAGAATCTTTGAAGTGGTTTGGTGAGCTCCAAGAGCAACCTTTTCTGAGTTTTGAGCTTGGGTAAGCTTCATCATCCATATACTGAGTTGGTGTCTCTCTTGGGTAAGGTTAAACACACCTAGAAATGCATGCTTAAGCTTCTATAATCGGTAAAAATGGAACCTTTGGATTGATATCTCGCGAAATGCAGAATCTGAGTTCTGCCGCAAAATATCCGGATATTGGGTTAGAAATATCCGGATATTGATATCCGCATATGAATATCCGGATATGGATATCCGGATATAGGATTTTGAATATCCGGATATTGCCAGACAGATATCCGGATATTGATATTCGGATATGCCCCCGACATATATCCGGATATTTTGAGTTTTCGAAGAACAGTAGCTGCACTGTTCGTACAGAATGATGTTTGGGATTTGTGGACCCTAGATTGGTTAAGTTGAACCTTTGTAATAATCGAACTAAGTCGAAATCAAGGGATTTAAGGGCTTGTGGCTTTGTGAGAAGCCTTAAGACTTGGAACGCAAAGGAAAGACGTTGTCTTTATACCGAATGCTTGTTGAGTATGATTATTGATATTGTTATTGGTCCGAAACAGATTGTGATTCTGCTGTGTTTGGACATTTGAGCTTGTGTGGACTTGGCTTGGATTGATTGCTTAAGAGGTAAGATTTCGTGTCCTCGGTTTAGTCATTGTTGGTTTCACCATGTCCCATGGGGGTATGGTTATGCATGATGTTGTTTTCATGATATATATATATATATATATATATATATATATATATATATATATATATTGATTTGTTGAAATGCTGTTGAGCTGTAATATGCGAGTGCCTTTATGATATGCATGTGGTGTTCCACCTATACGGTAAGCCTGAGTATGTGGTACATACAAGAGGGTGAGGCTGTGGGTGAGAGGCAAGCGATGTTCCTTGTACTAACTGTAGGTAATAGACGTATTCCTGCATTTCTCTAGCCAGTAGAATAGTTAAAACAAACACGGCATGAATATCTGTTGCACTGCATAGTTTTGGAACTTATACCGTTAAATGCTTTTGAACTTATATTGCACGTGTAAGTGAGCTTGGGGTGGAAGATCCTTGAGAACCCTTGTCTTTCTGAGATTTCTTTTTAAAGATCTCACCCCACGTTTGGGGCACATTAGGGGTGGCAATTTGGGTTGACCTGCCCCGCCCCGGCGGGTTGACCCGCCAAAAAATATGGGTTGAAAAAGTGAACCCACCCCGTTTTATGGCGGGTTGGCGGGTCAACCCACCAACCCGCCATTTAAAAAAAATTAATTAAAATTCAGAAATAAATTATATTTTATGAATTTTTCTAATATTATTTTATTTTATTTCACATTTCTCTATATTTTTTTAGTCTCAATCTTAAATGTATATTAATATTTGTCAAATATTTTTTAGGAATTTATATATAGATAACATTTGTCATAAATAAAATTGTTATTCTTTATTTTTTTTAGAAAGTACTAAGTTAAAAAAAAATTGGATATCACAAAAATTTAAGGACTAATGAAATACTACCTAATTGTAAAAAAAAAAAAAAAAAAATTTATAACCCGACGGGTTGAACCCGTTTTGACCCACTTCTAGGCGGAGCGGGTTGAGGTGGGTTGGTGGGTTGAAAACCTCAACCCAACCCGCCCCGTTTTGACGGGTTGGCGGGTTGACCCGCCGGTCTCATCCCATATTGCCACCCCTAGGGCACATATTTCAGGTTCAGGTAATGCGGGGGTTGAGACCTCTAGCGGTAGGAGGCCGGAGCTTAGCTGATTATATGCGGTTATGCTACTTATGTTGGATGCTGGATATTGACTGTTACCTCTTACGCTTTTAGCTTCATGATGTTATTGTTGGGACTGCTGTGGGGCTTTGTTGCCTTATTTGGGTGAGCATGGGGATTATCCATGCCACTTTGACTTGACTTTATGCTTAGTTGTTTCTAGTTGTAATTAATAATGTATCAGAATATTTTCCGGACTACGTGTTGTAGATCCGTGACTTAGATACTGCCATCTATGTTATGAGGTATTTCAGTTAGTTGTCTTTGCAATTTACATACATGCGATGTTTTATGAAATGAATTAAGTAATTCAACTTGGCTAATGATAATAACGTCATAATTGAACAGAAAAAGATATTCTCTATTTTTAAATTAAGCGTGGCTTAATACGATGATATGATAACAAACCAGATATATACGGGGTGTTACAATTAATATGTCAAAAATAATATAACATATGACCTTCCATATTCACATACAATAAGCATCATATACGAGAACTCTACCAACAGGAAGTATTTATTCCACGTTGTACTAAGCTCTAATGTGCAAAGGTATTATTTTTGGTGCACAATTTTAATAATTGTGGTTGACATTGAATGAGAAATTTGTTGGAATGACAAATACAATATGATTTCTGGAAACACATGTTGTTAAGTCATGTTGTTGGGTATTATTTTTTATCTATTATTTTGAATTATTATATGTTAATTACCTGCCAAAAGAGAGTTGTTGCATATAATAATTTGAAAAATTGCTTGAAGAAATTATTGATAGAATACGTGATTTAAAAGTATTTATCGGCCCAAAGGAGGTAAATTATTTTTAAATTGTACGTGGTATTAAGGAGAAATATATATAGTTTAAAAGTCTATCTGCGCAATGGGGATGAATTTTTATAATTGTATGTAATTCTCCTTGTTGTTAAATCTTCATGTGATGAAAAATAAATATATATTATATACTCTGCCCAAAAGGAAGTTTATGATATTTAATTATTTATTATTGTCCATTAATAATTTATTGCATTATATGTGTTTCAGTTAATTTTGTTGTCTACAATAATAATGCATGTTGAGTTATCTTCCCATAAGAGATGGATATTGATGATTATATGTAATTATTCTTGTTATCTTCAATTCAATGTTATGAAAAATAATGGTGTATTATATACTTTGTCCAAAGGAGAGTTTATAATATGCTAATTATTTTGTTGTTACCCATAATTAATCTTATTATATTATACGTGTTAAACATGCTTGGTTTGATATTGAAGTTATTATGGGAGATGTGTACTTAATTTTAATATTAGAATATAAATTTATTTTGAAAGAAATTTTTTATCACCCTTTAGAATGATTTTGACATGTATTTCTTATTTGAAATGACTTGGATTTCATGTTCTTTTTGGTGATAAAAAAGAACTTATGTTAAAATCTATCAGCTATGAATTTTATGTTATTTTTGGGTATATTTTGATGCAAAATGTATTGACAAATTAACTCACTTTCGATAATGTTGTACATTTTGTATTCTCAACTTGTATTGCATGCTTTAATATTTTGGATTGTATGCTACCACTTGAATTCTTTAGGGAGTGTTTGGTACAGCTAAATTTTTTTTTTACCAGGAAAATGTAATTACTAGGGATCTGCAGGAAAATTGAGTTAGGTAGGAAAGTTAAAAAGAGATGTTTGGTTGGACAAATTATTACTGGAAATATTGAGTGAAATTCCTGAATCTATGTTTGGTTGAAGATAAAATATTGATGAGAAAGCAGGTTAAAATTATAAAATAACCCTTTACTATATTTTAGTTATAACTTATAACTACTGTTGTTATTTCCAGGAAGAGAACTTGCTGGCCTTCCATGTGTTCTCTTACTGTGCCTCGTGAACCCTTTATTTTTCATCCCCATATCTTGTGTCCATGAGGATAAAACTGAATGGGGCAAACGAGTTGGGTGGATATATGGTTCTGTTACAGAAGATGTGGTGACTGGTTACAGAATGCACAACAGAGGTTGGAGATCTGTGTACTGTGTTACAAAAGGGATGCTTTTAGAGGAACAACTCCAATCAATTTGACAGACAGGCTCCATCAAGTGCTTCGTTGGGCAACAGGATCGGTTGAGAAAAGGGTAATTTTGGCCGTTTCTATTTTCACCATTTTCACTTAGCTGGTCATCCATGGAATACCACCGTAGAAATAGCATTTGAGCGCCCAATTTTTTATCCAATTTTACATACAAAGCTGAATTGCTAGAGAAATCAGTTAGCTAGGCAAAGTTTTGAAAAACCTGTACTAAATATGGACAACCTATTAATCTACTTCCAGGTGTGTAGCAAAATTTCAAAATAACTTCTACCAAATACACCCTTAAATACAAAGCCTTTTTTATAGAATGCTATTTTATTTGAATTCATGATATCAGTGAGGATATTACACCTTGTGGATTATGTTATGATGTTACACGATCCTATCTTTCTTTTTCTTGGTAACATATACGATCTTATCTTTACGTATAACCTTATGAAATATATCTTTACAGATGAGGGATTATTAAAATTTATAATAATATATAATTAACTGCATTTTTATAAGAATCCTTTTTTCAGTATAACATTATCCGACCTTTTTTTTATAACATTATCCGATTTGAGGAGATGGATAAAGTTAGATAAAGATTTATACTTTATATACATATCTAGTGTCATTTTCATGATAGCCTACCGCAATATCGCATTACGATTGCCGTCAGCGCCCACAGCACAATTCCGTTCCACGGGCACCGCTGTCTTTGCTTTCTCTTGGATTTATCTAATAAGTATATTATTAAAAGAGTAAAGTAGTTCTTTGTTTTTTTTATTTTATAATAGAGTAAAGTAGTTCTTAATAATAAATATTATGAGGCTCAATTTAATTCTTTAAAGAGTAAACATCATTTTTGGTCCCTAACAAAAAACACGATTCCCACTTTAGTCCCTTACAAAAATAAATTGATCAGTTAGTCCCTAACAAATTCAAAGTGGACCCATTTTAGTCCTTTTGAGGGACTAATATGGGTTTTTTTAAATTTGTGAGGGACCACAATTTCAATTAAATGGATTCACTTTGAATTTGTTAAGGACTAACTGACTAATTTATTTTTTTAAGGGACTAAAGTGGGGACCGTGTTTTTTGTTAGGGACCAAAAATGATATTTACTCTTCTTTAAAAAAACAAGTTAAATCTCGAGGTTATTCTAAAATTTAAAATAGACATATGTGGATATTCTGAATTTTAGAAGATTCACAATTTTGACTAATTGAAAAGAGGAAGAAAATTTAAATTATATAATTTTCCGATATAAACTAACAAGATGGAAAGAGGAAGAATATATCTAACGATCTGGATAATATTTTTAGGGGTTTACTAATTTCATGTTACAAATACGTGGAATCCATAATTTAAAAAGAAAAAATTGACACAAAATTATATGAGTGTATGACATAAGATAATATTTTTACGCCATATGAGGCTATTATTTCGCATATTCTTAATACCAAACTGAATATGTTAGGGGTTTAGTTATTTTGTAATTTTAAATGAAACAATTTTGTAAAAAAATTTAATGAAATTATGTGTTTTAATTTGTTTTATCGTTTTCTCTAATTCTTTTAGGGAATAACATCTATCATTTTAAAAAATATAAACTTATATTTTTTAAAATGATAGATATTTTTTCCATTTATAAAATTAGAAAAAAAAAGAAAATGGATGAGAAAAATTATAAAAACTTATCAAAACAACTAATTTTATTAAAAATAAAATAACTTTGTGTCATAAACAAATTCAAACATTGCTATTTCGGTTGTTCCACCAGATAGGAATGCCAGTAACAACTCCATTGGAAGAATTATTGGTACCAGTCTGCAAACCACAAGAACCACCAATAATCTTCTCGGGTGCGGGCGGCGCCACCACCCTGACGGAGAGATTGATGATCCCATTTCTCAGGCCATCAAAGTCCCTCAACCTATAACTCAAGAACTGTAAGCAATTATCAGGAACGAAACCACCGAGGAAATCCGAAAGCGCTATTCTCGCGACACCAACGTCTTTGATTACTCCCATTTGAGTTTTGTACTTCACCTCGAACGTTATTGATCTTGCATGCATGGCCAATTCCACCAAGAACTTCTCGTTCCATGAATGGAATCCACCGCCGCCGCCGTCACCCTTCATCGCCGTCGTGTGGCTCGTTATGGACTCCGCGCGAACCACCACGTACACGTTCTTCGTCGCCGGCTTTTCGTTAACGCGGAGATCCTCCGCTGATAAAACCGACACCTCTAGTGTTCTTGGTTTTGTTGCTTCCATCTTGTTAAAAAAAAAAAAAACACAAACAAAAAAGATTCGAAGTTTGAAACGTTTGAAAAAGATAAGTGAGTTTTCAGGAACAAATAACAGATTGAATCATGGTTATAAATAGCCGTTGTGGTATGTGCAAAAAATATAAAATAAAGGATTTAGTATTTGTCATTTTAAATGACACAATTTTGTGTTATTTTTAATAAAACTACGTCGTTTTGTTGTGTTTAGTCATTTTTTCTAATTTATAAAATTAAAAATAAAAAGAAAATGGAGGAAAGAGAATGTGAAAACTTATCAAAATGACATAGTTTCATTAAAAATGACAAATATTTTTTTCATAAATAAATAGCCGTTATAGTAATATTGTAGGTAATAAAAAATAATATTTGCTTTGATTCGGTTTGATACAGAGCAGAGAGATACAAAGTTTAAACAACCCGTGGTTGTTGACTATCCAGGATTGACTATAGGCTAGCACGCAGAAAAGTTATATTATTAAAATAGGATTTATTGTTTTTTTCCTGTGACAAACTAGATGTTTTGAGAAATTAAAATTAAAAAATAACTTCAGTAAAAAATCCACCTTAACACAATTAAGTTTGTATTATCATCTAATACTTTGTTTTCTAATTAATAAAAAATATTCATCTTTATTTATTAAATTAAATAAAATTTCTTTTAAATTCAATCAATTATTTATTTATTTTTTAATGTCAGGCATTATTTTTAGTTTTTAATTTTATTTCATAAATTTAAATATATATATATGTATTTACCTTTTTAAATTATAAATATCTTATCTTTTTTGATTTTTTTTGAATTATAAGTTGACAATTCATTTGATGAATTTGCCTGTGTTAAAATACTAATATGTTCAATTCATTAATTATTATGAGATCGAATCAATTTACATCGGTGTAAAAATAATAAATCTTATACTTAATCTTAATTCTTTCTACCAATCAAATGACTGTAATTTATTACGTTATTCTCATTAATTTATTATTAGTTTTTAATAAATTATAATTGGTAGATATATAAAAAACGACGATTAAAATTGTTAAGAATCATCTCAACCCAAAACCTTAAGTTCTTGGATGAAGGTATTTTTAATGGTTTATATTATTCTCTAACACACCATCCCTAACGTAAGAGTCATTTTTTGGGCTTGAAACGTGGATATTGCATTTGCCTAATATTTTTTACCTTATGCTTATTTAATTCCACAAAAAGGTGGCGATAAGGATCAAACTTATGACCTCATGGTCACTAAAGCACTAATACCACATAAAGATTCACTTCAACAAAGAACTTTAAAAAGGCCATCACCCAACACCTTAAGATTTTGGGCTGAATTAGTTTTTTACATGGTATCAGAGTTTTAGTGACTACAAGGCCACAAGTTCGATCCTCACCGCCTCCTCTTGTGGAATTAAATAAGTATAAGCTAAACCAAATAAAAAATTGGGCCTACGCAATATCCACGTTTTAAGTCCAAATGACTCTTGTATGATGGGATGTGTTAAAGAATAATATAAATCATTAAAAGGACCATCACCCAACACCTTAAGATTTTTGGTTAAATTGAATTTTTAATAATTTATATTATTCTCAAATAAAAATTGAATATTAATTTTATTATTCTTATTTGAGTGCAAGAAGATTTGACCTTAATAAATATTAATATAAATTTTTCATAGACAACCTATATTAAAATATAATTCTTTAAAATAATTGGTCTAAATACATACTAGTTATACGTGATTTAGAAAATAGGATTTGATTTTGGGAAAAAGGTGTGCTGTTTTAAATAACTAGTGAATTACCCGTGCGATGCCCGGGGGTAAAAGAACAAAATATTTATCGTCCGCCGTGGTTGGTTAATCGCACTGCAAACCTTATACTTACAAAAACCCGTGTCGTTATCTTATTCTATATTTCAGGTGGAAAAAATTACAGCATTGACAGAGAACTTTGCAAATATCAATCATAAACAAAAATCTGCTATCGAGAGTGATCAATATTATGCAAATCAAATATAGTTATCTACTCGATGAGTTATGTATAAAATAAATACGCCATAGTAGACTATGTTAAAATGATGATGGGTAAAAAAAGAAATATGCATACAACTTATTGCTAACTATAACAGCACTAATAAAATCAAGGTAACAAACAGACCAAGCAAATATGGAATTAAAAGATCAACTTGTACCTATAATAAGAAAACACTATTAATTCAGTGTCATTCTGTAGCAATCATTGGAGGAATGAGTTCAACACATATCAAACATGTGATTTCCTATGTTTATGCATTACCAGGGACATCCTCTTCTACCATCGTATTTATGCTTACGATACAAAGTGCAAATACTCATTAAATAAATTACGCTAATATGTTAACACCCAGAAGTAATAATCTCAGGAAAAAAAATGAGTTATTTTTTTTTTTAGAACCCAAAAAACTTTGTCTGAAAGGGATTTGAAAGCAAATTAACCAAATAATCATGTATGAGTCATATTTTTTGCTTACATTGGAACAAATGTGTCTAAACAGCATTAAATCAATACACATGCTAAAAACTTGTAACAATATAAAGAACCCACAATGATAAATTTTTAAAAAATAACAACAAACATTTGGGTCCACCAAAGACTTAAAGAATGAGGTGACAATAGCTTCGCTACTTCAAACACTTGAAATTTAATATCTTGGCTCATTATATGACTCCAAATTATTTTTTGTACGTTGCCTTAAATAACATGGAATTTTCATTAAGAAAGTTAAGTTTTCCTCGATAATGTTCCAAATCAGAACCCTACATAAAAAAAACTCCTTCAAAATTAAGTATAACTCGTGCGATGCACTGGAAAAAAGAAATCTGTTTGTCTGTCTCGTAAAAGTTAATGTAAATCATAAAAATATATCTCTGCATTTTATTTAAATAAATATTGTTAGCTACCTAACTCCAACTTTTTGTACATATAGAGTTGGCAAATTTTTGAGTTATTATGTTTAATATCAAATAAGAAGAGCAAAAATTTAATTTAATTACAAAATAATATAGGCGGGTCAGTCCTCCAGACCGACTCCACTTTGCAACCTCTAATTGTCAGCATTATATACCAGCATGTGATAAATTTTTATATTATCCACACGTAAAAGTTCTTATACTTGCATCTAAGTTTTTATATTTTATCTCAGAGATGGACTTTCGTTTATTACAATCAGATTTTAAAAAAATAATAAATAATTATTTTTTGCAAGGATTTGTGCCGTTTGTATTTGAAATTTTACAAATTGGTATTTACAAAAATTAAAATCACATTTAAGAATTTAATTATAAAAGAAAAAGGATGAAATTTTAATTTAATTATGAAAATGTTTGGTAGGTCGGCCCTCCGGGCCGAGCCCAGTTTGCCACCTATAACTATTAGCATGTAATAGATTTTTATATTTATTCACAAAAAAGATCTTATTCACAAAAAATAATAAACAGTTATTTTTTTGTAAGAATTTGTGTCGTTAATATTTGAAATTTTCTAAATTTGTATTTACAAAAATTGAAATATGAATTAGGAATTTAATTATAAAAGAAGAATAGTGAAATTTTAATTTTATTATAAAAATGTGTTGGCAGATAGGGCGGGCAGGCCCTCTGGGCCAAGTCCAGTTTGCAACCTTTAACCATCAACATTTTATATAAAATTATTTTTTGCAAGGATTTGCGTCGTTTGTATTTAAAACTTTACAAATTTGTATTTACAAAAATTAAAATCAGATTTAATAATTTAATTATAAAAGAAGAAGAATGAAATTTTAATTTGATTATAAAAATGTTTGGTAGGCCGGCCCTCCGGGCCGAACCCAGTTTGTCATATATAACTATTTGCATGTAATAGGTTTTTATATTTATTCACAAAAGGCTCTTATTCCCAAAAAATAATAAATAGTCATTTTTTGTAAGGATTTGTGTCGTTAATATTTGAAATTTTATAAATTTGTATTTTTTTTTTTGGGTATAACCTGGAGGTATCCCTATTCAACCTCCTCCGGTCACCTTGTCCTCGGAGTACGGCCCAGTAGGCTAGCCCCTCATTGGAACAACGGGTGCATTGAGCTTCGCTACCGGAAGAAGGATGAGACTAATCCCCCAATCGAGGAGAGAGGCACATCATCTGGCCCCCAAAAATTTTCCAAGAATTTGCTTGAGGCAGAGTTTGAACCCCTCACTCAAGCAAACCCTTAGGAGCTCAGTTGCCAACTGAGCTACCCTTGAAATATGAATTAGGGTTTGTATTTACATCCTCATTGAAATATGAATTAGGAATTTAATTATAAAAGAAGAATAGTGAAATTTTAATTTAATTATAAAAATATGTTGGTAGACGGGGCAGGCAGACCCTCTGGGCCAAGTCCAGTTTGCAACCTTTAACCATCAGCATTTTATGTAAATAATTATTTTTTGCAAGGATTTGCGTCGTTTGTATTTGAAATTTTACAAATTTGTATTTACAAAAATTAAAATCAGATTTAAGTTGTCTCCCATTAAAAGATGTTAAATTCTTTTTCCACCAATATCAATTTCAAATCTCGAAATTTAAAAATGGAGTAGGATATTAATGCACCTGCCTGCCACTAACTATTGCTGAACTCTTTTCTTTGGGTCTTTTGGTTTTTCGATAAATATGGAAAAAAACATTCAATGTTTTTCAAAATGAGGGTTAACAGAAAATGAGAAACTGATATGTGGTGGCAGTATTATGAATCCTTCCATCCTGAAAAATGAATAAATCAGTTAGTATAAAATTTATGAAAATGAATTCATAGGGTTTGTTCATAAAGAAACAGAAAATTATACCAATAGAACAATCCCTACACACATGAACGAAAAAATTGCAAGCAAGACAAAAAAAAGAAGCAACACTTCCCTATTTATAGGCAAATTCGTAATTTATTTATTTAAAAAAAAAATTAGCTTGTAGAATACACTTCATCATTACCA